CTGCTGAAAGTATTAGTAGTGTGCCAAATACCTTTGACTGCACAGAGAACTGAGTGCACTTAATGCTTCTCTGGATCACTTATTGTTTTATTAAAAGATTATAATTATGTGGCCTTTTAAAAAATTTATACAGAATCTCATTTCAGAGAAGCAGCATTCAGATGAATCATTTCTACTGTGCCCTGTCAAACCACATTCAAAGCAGCAATTCCACTTAACAGCAGTTCTTCACTAATGTATCCAAAGACAACATTTGGTCATTGTATTTTAGATGTTTATGGAAAAATTATGTTTTGTGTTCCTCTTAAAATATGAAAGTAAGAGGAGAAATAGATCCTTTAATTCTTTAACAAAACAAAACAAAAAGTCAAGTAAAATTTAATTAACTAGAATTTATATTTTTATATTTTGAACAGCATATGCAAATAAGGCACCTTGTTCACCATCATGAAAGATACGATATCAGATGAGCAATGAAAAAGTGGCACTATGTTGCACTAACTGCATACCAGAAAGCTGGGTGCCTCTGCAGGAACATGGTTTCTGCCTTCTTGGAGACACTGGGGTAATGCAACATCCTGCAGCTCCCTCGTGATAGCAGTTTTATTGTGTCACTTTGCACACCGCCATGTCGGGGTCAGTGAAGGGGTAATTACACCTATTTAGGTGTCTCTAAGATCACTGGAGCAGTCAATGGCACACATACAAACGGTCCTGAATCCTATCAAGAATCTTACAGGAAAGAAGAAATAAATCTCCCTAGCCTTAGTCTCAGGCAAAACTAAGGCACATTCGAATTGTGCCGATTTGCCAGCCAGGGTATTGAACTTTCTTGATATGTTTTTATTTTGCCCATATCCGTAAAATAAGATCTAGTGTAAAAGGTGCTATTTATTTAATGCACAACTTCCGTTTTTCTTTCATAAACTGTGTTGTGTAAAAACAATTCTACTACGAATTAATAATTTAAGAATAATATTTCAGGTGAGAAAAATGGCAGCGTTTCCACACTGAGAGATGTCAGATAATTCTCACAGAATTAAATGTTCAATAACAGTCCATGGCAAATATACTTCTCAAAAACTATGCATTTATCTCTTTTGTGTATGTATGTGTGATAACTTTTAATCCTCTGCTATTTTCCCTTTTTTATATTTTAATGTAATTTTCAGTACCCTTATTTACTCTTTGACCTGCTAAGAATAGCTGAACTGTTTTTTTTCTGACTTTCCTTTGGAAATTGGTGGCTATGTTCTCGACCTAGTACACTGTTTTTTAGCCACTTAAATTCTGTTACCTCTAGTGAGAACTGTCTGCTTCAAAAACTCATTTCAGTAGTCTGGGAACATGCATCTGTTTTATCTGCTTAAGTAAAGCTCTCCTGAGTCATGGAGGGTTGTCTTTCGTGTTGCAGCAGGATCTCTTTTCTCTTTTGAAAGTTGATCTCATTTTTGATGTATTGTTCTCCATAATGACTAGTGTAGGGATGACAAATTTTAGCTTCTCTCCAATGTTATCTACTCCCCAAAGCTATAATTCAGTCTTTGCTTGAAAGATGTATGTTCTACATGTTCCTGGCACTGAGCAGCTCTTTTGCTTATAATCCTGGATAGACCTTTGCATCTTAGTATTGCTTTCTGGTTTTTGACTTTGCTGCTGCTTAAATTTGAAGTGCTTCAATGGCTTTATCATCTTTCTTTCCAAATAAAATATTTTGCCAATTACCAAATAGTTAGAAATAGAGAAGGTCTAAAATTTAAGTTTTCCTATCTTCAAATTTCTGTTTTGACAAAAATGGCAGAGACATTTATGTATTTCTTCCTCCCACTTATCATATTAAGCACTACTGTTGACCATTTGGGAAGACCCTATTTTTTCCAATAGAAAATGGCAGCCTTTAATTGTTGAGTGTCAAGGATTGCAAGATTAAATTTAGATTCCTGTTTCTCAACCTTCCAAATTGTAAGAAATTACCAGAATCGAGAGGGATTTCTTTAGAGTTTATATGTCGGAAATTTCATGAGAAAACCATCTGTTCTTCTAAAACCTTGAACTGGAGTAGTTTCACATATCAAAGAACAATAAATCTTTTAAGACTTCTGTCACACTGAGTTGAATCAGTTCAAAAACAGCTCAAAAGATTTCCATGCTGCTGGTTTAGAATTTTAAAATTAAAGTTGGGTTCAAACTCCACCACAGTCTTTCACCTAAATCTGAAGGGAAGCGTTTGTTCATCCAGCTCTGCTTCCTATAAAAGTGCTGTTAGGCGGCTCTTCTCGGTCTGCGTTTGTGACCTTGCTTTCTCCGGCCCTGGGAAGTGAAGGAATCACCCCAGTGCCGAGTTGTCTGCATGGGGGGACTTGGGGGTGCTTGTGTGGGAAATGCACATGAAATAGATGGCGGTTATTTGCAACAGCTTTTTATTTATTTATTTATTTTTATGGTTTCTTTACAAAGCCATTTGTTCTATGGAAGAAAGAAGGCAAGTGGAAGAGGAGAGGCACTGCTGACAGGAACTGCCCTGAGACAGCCATGACCACACGCTGCTGTTCTGTCTTTCCTGTATCGGATTTATCCAGCCTGATTCAGTGTCTGATGAGGCTAAATTGCAGCAAAGTAGGGTCTTATCAAGAGGTGCAGTCTGGGCTGTCGGGATACATTTTGATATGACTCATCACTTTTTCAAGCTATTAGTGCCCCAGTTAGCTTCATCTTCTGCCTCAGTGACACTAAGAATGTTTATTGCTTCCCAGAGAGAGAAATATATATATATATATTCCAGAAGCCTTTTTAGTGTTCATGATCACTAATCCAGAGGAGCTCTATATGCATTCTTGTGTGCCAGACTCTCTATACTGCTTTCAACCCTTCCTCTCTCTTTCCAGTTTCAAGATCTTTTGCAGCCAGACGGATCTGAGTTCAGGGGTCCACATTTGAATGCTCATCTCCCTACCTGAGTAGACAAGTAATCATAATAAAAATTTAGTACCATCTGGTTACCCCTCAACAATAACTTCTCAGATCAACTCTGTGCAAACAGTACAAGTTGCCTGAGGAATTGTCAGCTGCTGCCCTGCCCCTGTGGTTTCCCTGCACTGAGCAGCTTCGGTGGGCATGGCGAGCGGGGGAGAGTTAGCTTCAAACCCTTCCTTTCCTGTCTATCTGGCTGGTATTTTTGTTTTGCTCATTTATTTTTCAGCCAAATGGATATATTGGCTTTATATCCCTAAAAGTAAAAAATTACAAAATGGAAAAACAAAGTGGATTTAATTTTCTGCCTCTTTTTATTTGCTATCTATTTACCTATTTATTTTTGCAAATGGTATTTAGACTTATGTTGTAGTTGATGTTAACATGCTGCCTTGTGCATTGTTCTTCAGCATGAGCTGAAGTTTATAAGACCTGACTCTGAAATACTCTGCTTAAAGTTGCAAAAGTTGTATGAGTACTCAACTCATAAACTAAAAACCATCCGTTGCACTTTGCTTTGTACAAATGTAATTTCCTCATATAAACTCTTTTCTTTGTTCCCTCTTTCTACCTCTTGTTTTTCTTAAAAGCAAATCTCTTAGCGATTATTTATGTTCTCGTAATGATAGCCATGACTATCTCGAATATATCTGAGGATTTTGCATCCTGTTTTCCTTCAAAATAGTAATACTAGTAATTTGACAGTTCCAATTTTGGGGAAGATATTTAAAAAAAAAGGTTCAAGTAACTTCTGATATAGTTATTTGGTAAATATATAAGATAGGATAAAATACAGAGTCAAATATGGCAGGTTGTGTTGACTAAAATCTCACACCATCAGTAATATGACAGTGCAACAAAAAATGTACAGACATATTGAAATCCTCTCTTTTCTCACAGATAAAATGATCTAGTAGAGAGGCAACAGAAGCTACCTTGGATATTGTCTGTTCTCCAGCTGGGAATAGTCCAGGCCTGGACTTGGAAAGAAACAGACAAATTTCCCTCCCTGAAAATGATCTGTTCTCCTTCTAGAGAGGGTTAATTTGTGCTATATTTGTTATTATTTGTTATTCGAGGAGCTTTGTTTTAGGTAGGAAGTGTTAACTCCCTAGTTTTTTCACCTATTTGCATGTTCAAGATGGTACCATGAAGTTTTCTTGCTGCTGTAATGGCTTACGGGAGTTACAAGGTGACAAAGAGGGCAAATATCTGTACTCTTTCAAAAGATTTATTTTTGAATTGAAAAAAGATCTGAAGTATAATTTCTTGTTTTATGAGCACTAAATTGTAGGGGCATTTTGAAAGTTTTGTTTAGAAGACCGGGAGCAGTAGGTAAAGAGCTTGCTTTGCTTTTAACTATTGTTGTGAAGAAATAAGCCATTTACTAACAATGATTTTCACTGGTTTACTTCCTTACAATGGTTTTAAAGAGTTTTCCTTGGCCCTTGATGGTAATAGCTTCTTCCAGAAACCAGCAGGGAGTGCGGGTGAGAATTTCCTAATGTGGCTCAGCTACCAGCATGATGAGAACTTTCTCTGTTGGCAGCAAAACCGGCTGTTGGACCCAAGTTCCAACATGATGGAGGGGGAAGGAATGGATGTCTGATTTTTGTCTTCTTTTTTAACCGTTATTTTTCAAAATGATTACCAGTTGTGTTTAGAAGACAAAACTAACAATGCTGTCTTTGACACAAAGGAAAAACTATAATGTGAAAGATTCTGCGATTCTATGATGTTCTGAAGAGAAGAAAGGTGAAGATAAATTTGAAAAAAATATATTTTTAGGCAGAAATCATCCAGACATTTCACCTTTGGAGAACATTTGAAGTTTTTACACATGCTGTTTAAAGGCAGAAATAATCTATGTGTGAAAACATATTGCACACACACACCCGTATGTTACAGAGAATTTGTAGGTATAAAATATATCAATTGTATTACTAATAATGGATGAACTGAAAACTAGTTTGTTTAATTGCATGCAATGTTAACTTTGCATAATAAATCTGCTTGTATGCTTTCAACAGGCTGGAACAAATGGCTATATGGCTCCTGAAATCCTGAAGGAAGAAAACTACGGCTATCCGGTGGACTGGTTTGCGATGGGATGTAGTATTTATGAGATGGTTGCTGGGCGAACACCGTTCAAGGATTTCAAAGAAAAGGTTGGTAAGGATGAGGTTAAAAGAAGAACTCTGGAAGATGAGGTGATTTTTCAACATGCCAACTTCACAGAGGAAGCAAAAGATATTTGCCGGCTGTTTTTGGCTAAGAAAGCAGAGGACCGTTTAGGAAGCAGGTATGCCTTACTTCCCAAACTCAGTAAAAACCAGATAAATGCTGCAATTGTTGTTTTAAAAAGGAGGAGTTTAAATATTGACTGTATACATACTACTGAGTCTTCTTTCACTTCCAGGAAGAGAGAAGCAGGGTTTTTTTTGTGATCATAAAGAAATAAGTGTTGCAGTAACGCAGTTGTCCACCCTCACTCCCCATAACATGGTGTTCTGGGGGGTTAGGCTCCTTGCCTTCTGGGAGAGGGGAGCAAACCATTATCTCTTGGATTTCCTTTCCTAAAAATAAAGGATATTCAAGTAAATAACTGCATCTTGGCTAATGCTGACTGACTGCAGAATGTGTGGTCTTTGGCTGGATCACTAACTAGCTAGAATGGTACTGGCAGAAATTCAGATCTGCATTATGGATTTTCTACCCTGCAGATATCTAACTCCAGGGATGCGTCACTGGCTGCTTACTGAAGAGACCTTAACCATTCCTGTTTGATAAAGTGCTTTGAAATAATCTCGTAGAGGTCCCTGTTTTTCTTGACTCATCCCAGAGAGCAAAGAGAGGAAACAAAGAATATTGGACACATTATTTTGAAGGAAAACCCTTTTTGGGACATCAGCTTTTGGGTTAGTGAAGACAGTTGGATATGTCCCTTACTTAGCAGTTTCAGAAGAAAAGAATAAGAAATTTAGAAGGCTATAAATACTGTAAGAAGTCTTATAATATTTATTTGTAAAAACTCTCATCCTCTTAACGTATGTGTATCATTTAGCGCATTTGTAATCAGAAAAATTGAAGGTCTACTTTGCAATGTGGACAAAATATAGAAAATATAATCAAAATATAATAAATGAATAGGAAATTGGTAGTGATTGACTTGAGAATGCTTCATCATTTTATTCATATATAAATTTCAGATAGTTCTCCAATCTGAAGGTGAAATAACCACAGGGAACTTAGCAGACTTGTACAGATAATCTTCTAAATTTTTATTGCATGACAACTTGGAACAGTCCTGCAAAATGTTGGTCATACACTTGCCCGATTAAGCAATTAGAGATATTACACTACTAATAGATATAGATATATTCTCATTATCTTAGTGCTTAATGCAGACAGCTAGTTTCGAGGTCTCATTAATTTTCCCCCAAATTCTGCAAGATTTCAACTTTTTTTATATTGCAGTTAGATTGTTTGATACTAAGTATGTATTATTTTAATACATTTCTAAAGCGTATTTGAAAGTAAATTTAATCCAAAAACATTTAGCACATTCTACCTTACGAGTGAACATGCTTTTCAAACATTTCATCTTACAGCATTTGGTTAAAAAAATGGACCTTAGAGTTAGGGAAATTGAAATTTGGGGGCTTAAGTGACTTGCACAGATATTTTCAATTCTCTTCTGCATCTAAAATGTCATTTCTCTGTACTTGTTGATGTTCATGCCTGGTGACATTCTGGGAGAAACTTGAGTAAGGGTCTCATTTCTTTTCACTAAAGATCTCCCTCATCTCACAAGCAGAACTACAGCTAGAACAGCTAGAGTGTCATCAGTCTGACACAGACATGGGGGAAAACAGGGCACGTGCTATTATGTTATTGATAGGCTGTAGTGCAAGGAATATAGAGCTGCCCTTTTATGCACACTATTTTTGTGGTGAGATCATAGTGGAATTCATAATGAGCAAGTCCTGTTTCTTGCCTTTATGTGTGATACTTAGTAAAGGAAAAAGGATGTGTACCATGCCTGGACATATGTACCTCTTAAACAGGGAGATACTATTCCGGACAGCTCATCCTTTTGTAAAGATTAGCGCTGTAATTCTACTAAGGACAGCAAGACCTTGCGTTATCTACATAAGTGCCTGTTGCATAAGTTAAAGCTGATCAAGGACAGCTTTAATTTGTTCACCTGACCTTTTAAAAGACTACACATCTCATATTCAAGACTTAATGAAATTAGCTAATTCAGGAAAGATTTAACCCTATTTTCTCCACGCTAGGTTTTTTTTAGGACTTCACATACCTGTCCGACACCTCTCTAGTGTACTTCGAAATTGCTATGGAGGAATATAAGCCTGACAGAATTTAGACAAGTTTATTTGCTCTGATAAAGTTATTTAAGTATAAAACTCGCAGAGGAAGAGCCCATGCGGGTGCGTGTGTGGGTAGTTGGAAGATGGCTCGGTTGGTTCCAGCAGATGGCGTCCCTGTAGCTCCGTGGGTTTAAACTCTTCCTATTCCTGGTGGTGTCAAACTGTATCAGGAGGAGAAACACTGCAGCCGTCCATTCTGGATGTAGGTCCTTAAGACTACTTCTGTATAGTGGTTCTAGGCGTTTGCAAAGATGAGTGGCCTTGAAAAATTTTGCATTCTTTTTGGTCCTAGAATATGCCATGATGTTCTAAAAATATGAAGGCTTACTCTTCACTGGGTGTGTGAGTTTGTAAGGAAACTGGAAAAGCAAATAAGAACAGGTTAACAGCTACCATTTGCTGAGGTCAAAAAAGCAGATATATCTCTTTCCCATGTGCCCACTCTCAAGACCAAGTCCGCTCATAAATGCATGAAAACGGAGGTACGGGTGCCAAAATGCAGTAGTCCTCCCTGGTGTGCCTCCTTCCACTAGAATTCTAAACTCAAACCTCATGCCTTCGTGCTGCAGGTGCATTACAGGGCAAGACCCAGTTCAAAAGTTAGGATTGTTGGTCTGTATACTTTGATGAGTATACATTTGAGGCTTAGATTGTTCTTACCACAATATCCTGCAGGTCTTAACTGTGGGTCTACAATGAAACAATTCACTGTTTTTATTTCAACAAAAGAGGACCGTATTTTTTTCTCTCTATGGACGCAGTTATTCTTGTCAAAATGTAGTTAAAATATGTATTTACAATGCTTTTAGTCTTTTCTGGATTTTATTTTTGGGTTTCAACCATATTAATAAAGGATTATCTTTGTGTCTGTCTCTAAGGAATATGACATTTTTCTAATGTCATAATTTGTGCGTATCTTGCTTAAAGCTTCTGTGCACTTACAAAAGTAGTCCTTTGGCTATGAACTGACTTAGTCAGCCTAGGTGTGTATTAAAACTGCATACTGGGTTTTGCAAAATACTTTTATGATGTAAATGCATTGAATTAAGAAAAAACCCACAGATGTAAATTGTCACCAGTTTCCTGTTTAAGCTGTTTTTCTTCAGAGCCAGTCCCAAGATTATACCCCCTTGTACCTCACTTTACTAGATATTCTTATTCTAGCTAAAATAGAACCAAACAATTGGACGTTCCTGATTGACAGTAAATCCTATATCCCTACACACACCTAACTAATCATCCTGCTGTATCTTCAGTTCTAGTTAAAACACTTTTAAGCACGAGTATCTCAACATGGTGCTATGCCAGTAGCAGTACTGCAATTCTGGCATGGCACCTTGCCCAGACTAATTTATCCTGAGAAGCAGTGTAATGAATAATGGGATCAGGATGTTTTCTGCTTCACAGCTACGCTTATATTGTACAATGCAGCATTCTTTGGATACACAGGAGATCTCTGGAATTACATTACACAGTATATACATAGCCTTAATTTTAAATACTCTAATGCATACAACACCGAGACCCTTGTATCTATCTGAGAGTATAATATCATACTTATTAACACTCATTTGCTTTATTGCAGAAATGAAGATGATGACCCAAGAAAACATAGTTTCTTCAAGACAATAAATTTCCATAGGCTAGAGGCAAACCTCATCGACCCTCCATTTGTGCCAGATCCATCTGTTGTCTATGCCAAAGATCTTGCAGACATTGCTGACTTCTCTGAAGTGCGAGGAATTGAGTTTGATGATAAAGATAAGAAGTTCTTCAAAAAGTTTGCAACAGGAGCTGTCTCTATACCCTGGCAGGAAGAAATTATTGAAACGGGACTTTTTGAAGAACTGAATGATCCCAACAGAGTAGATTCCGGGGGATACGCAAATGGAGGTGAAGCTAAGTCAGGAGTTTGTTTGTTGTTGTAAATATCACGTTTTTAGCAAAAAAAGTAGAAACTATCCCAGAACTTTCCATATTTTTACACTGTCTCAGAAGGTCAGTTTGTCTGTTTAAGAAGAAACAATCAAAGTAATATGACCTTCACAGGGTAGGTAGGACCACAAGCTGTATAGACTGTATTATTTTCCTTTCTCCTAGCAAAGGATATGATATTCTATTGGTGTTTTATTGGAAACTGATCAAAATGAAGAATCATGTGTCTCTCAAAAACTTAGAATGATAGAAATTCAGAAATATAAACACAGTGGTGAAGAGGCAACCCCTTTTGAAAGACTGACTCTACTATTTTGAATACAATCATTTCTTGATTTTCTTTCTATTTTCTTGTTATTTCTACTAATGTTTCGTCTTTGTTGTACAGTATTCAGAAATATATATATATATTTTAATTTTAAGTAATATTCTCAGTCAGACAATGGACTTCATATTTTACATCAAATTTGGAATCTCGTTAGTTAGCCAGTCTGATTTTTTTCTTAATTTCTGTTAGTTTTTGGAGGGTTAGATCATAATATATTGAAATTGTTTTAAAATGTAAAAGGCTTTACAGAACAATGGGAAATAGGACTGACAGGATCTGTTTTTTTTCAAAATTGACTTTGAAAATGTGAGTGAAGATAAAAATGCACCAATTACATTGAATAAAGTATTTATTCTTATTAACTGTATTTTTAAGTCATAACACCATACGCATAGAATATGTTTCTGTATGAATACAAATTCTTTTTAACAATGGATTTCAACCTTTTATCACATTTCCTGATAATGTTTCTATATTTTGTGATTAGTGTAGTTTAAGTTAAACTAGAAATAGACTAAAAAGCTTGAAACCGTCTTTTTACAAAAAATACATTTCATTGTATTTAAAATGTTAACTCGGTAGTCACAAATATTAAATACTTTGTACTATTCAGTGATGTAATGGTTGAAAGGCTATGTATGTAAATTAACACCTTAATCCTCAGATAATTAATTGAGTCCTGCACAGTATTTGATATTTTTGTTTGAGTTTTCAAATGTTTGGTAACCTAAATGGAATTAATCAGAAACATTTCTGCCTTGCTGATGCTGCAGTGTTTACTCCTCAGAGGTATCCTACTGATTATCTGTCAAGAAGAGAATACATGTTAGTAGTTTGCAAGAACTGTTAAAACTAATTCTGGATGCTTAATACTCTCATGTACATAATTCCCTTTGGCTGAAGTGGAAGTCGAAAGTGCTCTTTGTAGCCTGTTTTTCATAGAGCAGAACTCTGACTGAACTCGAATGGTTTAAACAGACATCAGGGTTCAAGTCCTACACTTGTTTCGAAAGAGGAACAACAGAAAATAACAGTCATCTACAGTCACATCTCTCATGAACAGCGTATAACTTTAGTGATTATTGGTAATCTCACAGCACATTTCAAATGTTGTAGTAGTTAAACGGTCTGTAGTTTTAAATATTTTAGATGATTTAATCACAACTAAATAACATGTTGTATTGTTCTTTATTTTTGTATAAAGATGATTAAGCAGAAAAAGAACTGTTCCTTTTTTTTCCTTTTAAATTTGCTTCTCCAGTTGTTCATATACTCAGCTTTCAAGTGAAAGTCATAAAAGAGAGTGTTACTTAGGATTAGTGGGTAGTTCGGTTAATGAGTTGTTATGAGCATATAATTGTGCACATTTTGAGGGGAGACTTTTTATGAAATAGTTCTAAACAACATAGACTAAACGTTATGGCTTGGGCTTTTAATATGTTGAGAAGGATTATTGTGAAAAGCAAAGGAGGTTGAGAGGAAAGGCAGTCATGTCATTCCATCTAAGAATTAGGAAAGAGGTTCCACTGTCGACATCCAGCGGTTTTGTTTCTCTTTGCTTCTGTCTGTCAGAGAGTGGTGTTAGACTAATATATTTAATAATTTCAGCATCCTAGATATAAAATTTTATTATGTATCCATGTCAGCAAAAAAAATTTAAGTGGAAGCCCACTAGAGCTAGCAGCATTGAATTTATGTTTTAAATTGGTGTATTTTTCAAATCCACGGAAGTGCCATTTCACAAAACCTCCAGAGCCATAAAGTAGGACTGTGAAATGGCTCTGTGTTTTCTAGCACATAACTAATTTTCTGGTATACATATAATCCCATGTGGAAAAAAAAGTTATGTATAGAAAGAACCAGCAATTTATGCCATGTTAAAATCATATATTCCCTATAATGCCAGATGTTGCAAGTCTGGGTTTTTCAGAATGTATTGCAGTACTGAGATGTGAGCTTAGCAAGATACAATATGTGCAATAAAATTAGCTTATTTACTTTTAGAAACATTACCATGTTAAAAAACCCCAGTGAGATATATACAAGTGATTTAATATGAACTTTTAATTGTTCCATGAATCATTCAAAGCAGCACACCAGTAGGCTGATTCTCATAATGCACAGTCTGGCACAGTGTGTTACAGAGGAAAAATGTATTAGTTTGACACTATTGATTTTAACTTTCTGAAATTCTCTATTTCAGAGATATGGACAACTTGTATTTCCACTATGAAGAGACAGATAGAGCAGAGCAAAGGTTATAGATGTACTTCTGGTAACATTTTTAACACTTTTGTAAAAAACAAACAAACAAACAAACAAAAAAACTTCAACTTCTTTTAAGGAATCTGTGAAATTCTTGGATATTTTCCTGTCAAGTTCCTTCTTACATTTTTGTTTTAAACATCTTGCTTCACTTTAAAGAAATGGAGCCAGGAATCCTAAAAGGTTTATGCCTATGTCGAATTGTCCTGTTGAATCTACTGCTTTTAACTACTCACGTGAGTAAAATTAAATGCATGTGTAAGTATGCAAGATCAGGGCTTTACTCAAAAGTTTTGGTGAAGTTGATGGATGTTTATAATAGAAAATGAGGGTTGAAGTTGTGGGAGGAGAATAATCCTGTGGTTGTAGGATACTTAAGTTCTTGTGGCAAAACAAACAAAAAAATATGTAACTTGAAACAGTTCTTTCTTCCTTATTTAAGCTGTTTTGCTAGTTCCCCCTTTGCCAGCTTTATGGCGCCTCACTTGCCTACCTCTTTTTAAGACAGATAAGATCCATTCAAGTGTTAATCTAATCTAAAAAAATAAATTGTGATCTCCATTGCATTAAATGCCATCTGCGAAAGGCTCCAGAGTACCCTGCCACCCTGCAGTGATTGTCCTTACAGTGCTTTGTAGGGGAAATGGTGCTGTCTTTCCTGCCCTGTTTTACTTAGTATTGATATTAGAAGTACTTGATTATTTTAACCAACTGAAGTAGGCTGAAACTGAAATGAGAGATTCTTAATGACTTGAAATCTTTTCTTGTAAGAACATCATTTAAAATACCTTAGGCAACATTGAAGGATGGCTGCTGGCCCAGAGAGAAAGGCTTTCCTTTCAAGTCTAAATTTTCGTTGCTGCTCTCCCCATTATCTTTACCTTTAGGCCACTGATCTTACTGAGCCCAAAGAAGTGAAATGAGTATTATTTTTAACATAACAAATTCATTGCCCATAAGGATTGTTTATCAGAGGCAGTAAAGCCTTAGTTGTGCACCGAATTGTATCATTGCAAAGGCTCAATTAGTCTATAAACTCATTGTTTGCAAGTAGTTCACCTTTCTATTTCTGTCTATTTCTATCTGTTAGCACCAGGTATTGGCTTCATATAAAGTCAAGAGCCTCTTAGCAAATCTCATTCTTGAGGTTTAGAGTTTTAGAGATTCTGGAGATTTAGTAATTTTGTTAATCATAAAAAAAAGTCAGTGCAGAATGCAAAATGGAACTTAGATATCCAATTAGAGCAGGAACATGTAATTATGCAATACAGCTGTAAATGTTGCACGGTTTTATATAGTTTTCCTGTCAACACCATTTTTAAAAAATAAATTCATAGTATTATATTGAGATTATTGCTACTTTCACTGGTTTTAATGAAATATATAGAATATTCCTGATCTTAAATTATGCACAGGGGCTTGTCTTTTCCCTAAAAGAGGATTTAAATTAAGTATTAAGTTATCATATCACCACAGAATTGCTGAAGATCCTACAATGTTGTTGGATTTTGCTGGAAGAAAAACATACTTTTTTTTTCAAATGACAAAGCATCAATTTTCAAATCTATGGATATCGCAAATTACCAGCTTTTTATATTAGAAATATACCTACAACTTAAAATGTTAGAAGTAGTGACCACCTGTGATTTTTCTGTTTAGGGAGTCTATTTGAAACATTGCATATGACAACCATAGGGAGCTTCCTAGACACATTAAAAATGCATGGATATGAACCAAAACAAATTCAATTAAACATACTTTAAAAAATACAATTATGCTTTGCATTATTACAGCAAATAATTCTAGACATAGTATCTCATTTAAAAAGTAGTAAGACAAAAGATGAATGTTTCTTGGGAAATCACTGTTTTGTATTTCTCTGACTTTCATTTATAGACCTTCCTGAAGCTGAGCAGAGCTAATAAAAAGTTCTTCCTGGTTAGCCCTTGGCACTTGCAGAAGTGCAAATAAACCCACTCCGTGCGCATGGGAGCAGGAGTCTGTTAGGCATCTCTGGCCTGGAAGGGGTGAAGAGCAAGAACACAGAGGGTGTCACTGTCTCTTGCAATGCAAATCCCAGAATCCATGGCAAAAGTGTAAACAGCTGGTGACTGGGTGTGTAGAGCCGTTCTCCTCATTCTCTTCCTTTATGTGCAATGGTTTATTGTTCTTGCATTTATCTCCACATCTGTGTCCTCTCCTTGCACTGTCAGGGGTGACAACATTCAAATGAAGCTACCATGAAGTTTTACCATTTAGGGGAACTTAATTCTATAGCTTGGGCAGACAAGCGGTGTCAAAGAGAATAGCTGTCAGCACCAGTTACCTTACTCCAAAGAGTGAAAGGCTTTGAGGGGGGTTGAGCAGGGGAGGCGGGGAGGAAGGTGTGAGAAAAAAACATGAACCTCTTTGAAAGGGCTTCTGGGCATGTTAGTTCTATTCCTTTTCCTCTTGACAACTTTGGGGCAACTGCAGTAGTTAATTCCTCCCTTTTCCCCCGACCAAGCGTAAGCACAAACAATTTAACACAATCAGTTATTTTGTCCCATTTTGGCTCTTTATCTATGATGATACGGATATGA